CTGATCTCTGAAGGGTTCTCTAGTATGCTAACTACAGCCTGTTTGCAAAAAAAGATTCAAGGGTTAAAGTTATCTAAGCGTGCGCCTGAAATTTCTCATCTGTTTTTTGCCGATGATTCACTCTTATTTTGTAAAGCGGATTTTATTCAAATTCAGTGGCTGAAAGATATTCTGGATAGATATTGTGGAACCTCGGGGCAATTAGTTAATCTAGAGAAATCTTCTTGTTATTTTAGCGGAAATACCCCCAGTATGGTAACAGGCAATTTGCTTTAAGTTGGGGAACATCAAAGAAGTTTCAAATTCTCGTTATCTTGGTTTGCCTTTGGTAATAGGAAGAAAGAAGCTGGAGGTGTTTAATTTTGTCCATGACAGACTGAAACTGAAAATTACCAATTGAAAAAATCAGCTTTTGAACCCTGCTGGGAAAGAAGCTCTGATCAAATCTGTGGTGAATGCACTACCAAATTATGTGATTTCATGTTTCAAACTTCCTAATGCATGTTGTAAATCTTTGAACAGCCTAACTTTAAACTTTTGGTAGGGTGATACTCAGACAGGTGGTACTAAAATTCAGTGGATGAGCTGGGATAAATTGACAATGGCTAAACAGGAAGGAGGATTGGGTTTTCAAAATCTTCACTTAACAAATGAGGCCTTGTTGGTCAAGCAATTATGAAGACTCTTGACAGAACCTGATACTTTGGTGAGTAAACTTTTCAAATCTAAATATCTTTTTGATGATTTGTGGGTAAAGCCAAATAAGAAATGCAACCATTCTTGGCTATGGACTGCGTGGCTGAAGGTGTTTGATTATTTGTTGTTGGGCCTAAGGGTAAGAACAGGGAACGACAGAGATACAAAAATTGCAGGTATTCCTTGGATCCCTTCAAATCCATCTTTTAAATTGTTAGGAGGGAATTGTAGAGATCCAAATATCATTTGGGTTAGCCAACTTATTGATGCTGACAACAGGAGATGGAATACGGAAATAATTTTGCAAAACTTTCATATTATTGATGCTCAAGCAATTCTTAGCATTCCTCTGAATAGAATCGAAGCTAGAGATGATCTAGTTTGGCACCTGGAGAAAAGTGGAAAATTCAGTGTTAAATCTACAAAGAAGGCAATTATTTGCTATCACAGGAACAAAGCAGATAAACCTGAAGGAAGTAAATCACAGAAAAGTGAGCGAAGTTTTTGGAATTTGCTGTGGAAGCTAAAAGTGAAAAACAAAATTAAACACTTTGTGTGGAATTGTTTACATAACTGTTTGGCAACAAGTTTAAATCTGTGGCGAAAAAAGTTGAAAGATGATCAAATGTGCCCAATGTGTGGTGAAGAGGAGGAATCTTTAGAGCATTGACTTTTTAATTGTGAGAGGGCCATAATTGTGTGGAAGGTGGCTCCAATCAATTGGCCTTGGAGTGGAAAGAAGATAAAGAATTTTAATGAATGGTGAGTTATGTTAAGAAACTTGAAGAAGATGAACAACTTTCAAAACATGTTACAGTTGTCAGTTTATTTACTTTGGTGGCTATGGAAAACTCGGAATTTATGGGTGTTCGAAAGAGTGTGGAAAAATGAGAAGGAGTTGGTGGATAGTGCGGTGCTGGAGTGGAGTGAATATGACTTGCTTGTTTGATTAGAGGGACCTGCTCCTTTTAGTTTTTCATGTTGGGTTGTGCTAGAGGAATGGTAATTCTTAGTGGTGTTCAACATGAATTTCTTTAAGGTTTTTTTAGTTTCTTTTTGGAGCTGAGTGGAGTTCAAGATTGGCTAGGGGTTGTGAAGCTCACTGGTCTTTTCTGTGGCTCCTGTGCATAGTTATTTAAGGTTTTTTGTCTTTCCTTAATTGTTAGGCTTTGTATAGTTTGAGTTTTGTTGTATAGTTATTCTGTAGCCGTTTTTCTCTATTTGGGTTTTTTGTTGTTTTGGCTATCCCTTGGTTGTTCTGTAATCCCAATGGGATATTGTACTATATTGTTGCAGACTTTTTGCCTTTCTTTAATATATAATCATTTCTGTAAAAAAAAAAAGAATAAGAACTTTTAATTGTGGTGAAATACACATACATATATATATATGTGTGTGTGTGTGTGTGTGTGTGTGTATAATTTGACCTATTCAACTATTCTTTTTTATTTA